CCCACATCTATTGATGACAGAAGAATAAAAGAACTATGTTTCCAAGATAGAAAAATGTCATCAGCGACCATCAGAAGTGATCTGAATGATGCTGGTGTTTCTGTCAGTTCAAGAACAATCAGGAGAAGATTAACAGATGTTGGACTGAGATGTAGAATTCCACGAAAAAAGCCTTATCGTAATTTTCAGCAACGAAAAAAAAAAGACTACAGTGGGCAAAGGAACACATTAATTGGACAGATGATCAGTGGTCACAAATTATAGAGTGATGAAACTGAGATATCGTTATTCGGTAGTGATGGGCGAAAATATGTAAGACGTAGAATAGGAGAAGAGCTACATCCTGACTACATTCAAGCAACTGTGAAGAACCCAGTTAGTGTTATGATTTGGTCATGCATGTCAGCAGATGGTATTGGTCGCCTTCATGTCATCGATGCGACACTGAATGCCAGAAAATACATTGACACTATTCTAGAACCAAAACTTCTACCTTCCATCAAAGATCTCTTTCCCAACAATGCTTCGTTTAGTTTTCAGCAGGATTCTACTCCTTGCCACACGGCCAAAATATCGAAAGAGTGGTTTCGTACAAAGAGCATTAAATTGTTGTCATGGCCAGGAAACAGTCCTGACCTCAATCCTATCAAAAATGTGTGGCACCGTTTGAAAACTCTTGTCCGAATGAGGCGCCCATCAAATAAAAGGGAACTAATTGAGGCTATAATTGTTTCCTGGCATCATGTAATAACGAAAGAAGAGCTTAAAACTCTTGTCAGCTCAATGAAACGTCGATGTGAAGCTGTAATAAAAAATAAAGGGTACCCTACTAAGTACTGATAACTCACTGCAATCATCACTATCTAATGTATATCGATAACTATTATCGTTTAACTTTTCTTGTATTGGAAACAATTGAATTTTGATTTTTTTTTTGTATTGAATTCAGTAATAAATTCTGTTTAAAATGATATATACAAGTTTGCATTTTGTGAAACGTAACGTTTTCTATAAGCATACAAATTTCAAAAACATAAATGTTTTCAAAAGCGTTCACAATTTTGGCCACCACTGTACTTTAAAATTTATCTGGTTTCTGAAACGTAAACTTTTCAAACGATGCTGAAGTTAACCGAAATCAATTTAAAATTTAATAATTGAAACTAATTAAGAAATGCAGGTCCGACGAATTTTGTTTATGTAAATTACAGTGTTAAATATTTATTTACGATGTGATTCCAACGCAAGCTATTTAAACAAGTCCTTCTTTTAACTAGAATGCTTATACCGATCGTTTGTGCTATACGTGAACTAATTTATTCGCTTAAAATTTCTTTTCACAGTTCGCCAAATCATTACCGTTTTTAGAAAGATCCCAGCTGCTGATCCCATTTACTGCTCTTTTGGAAAGTACAATTCTTGCAGTGTGATTACACATGTTTCGAAGATAGGTTTTAAAAACGAAACTCATTTAACAAGCTGGTAATTTGCAGTCCTGTTTTTTTGGCAACAAAAGGTATATTGGGCATTTATTTCTATTAGATTTGATAATTATTTCCTTTTGCTATTTTTTTTGTCTTATAAATGTAAAACTTACGCATTATAAAAATCCTTTCGTAAAGCAGTATATAAATATAGCCGATTTCGGTTATAACGAGCGTGAAGGGAACGCGATATTTCCTCGTTATAACCAACTTCTCGTAATAAAGAGGTTCGTGTAAAATATCAGAAAAATTCATACATACATTTTATATTATATATATTTTATTTATTTATGTACAGTAAAAAACAAACTGGTTAATTTGTTTTGTACTACCCTGTAGAGACACTAAGTATTTGTGGAAACAGGAAAGGTAAAAAATGAGCAACGCCCTCGCCGGGAATCACGGACGTCTGGAATACGCGCTGAGCGTGCAGACCACTACACCACGAAGGCACGCTAAGATGGCGGGAGACATACCTTATAACTTTATTACCTCTTTCTTGTGTTATTGTTCTTCGGAGAATCTTCTTGGCCCTAAAATTATCGTTATTTGGTATCCCTGGTTTTGGAAAATAGTTGAAAATTTTCTGTGCATTCAGTAGCCATTAAGTATGTTGGGGCAGTTGAAGTTGAAATTGTTTACATTCGTCGTTATCATCTTCGGTTTTATTATTTTTTTCATCTGCCTGAATCTTCAGCTTGAACTTCAACTACAATATGCTCAGGAGCAGGTATTGCGGAAGTGATAATATTGGCGTCAACCGATAGAGAATTTTCAAATTCTTCTCTACTCATTTTCAAAAATTTTCCATGACGTCTACTTCTTCTTCTCTCACAGCGATTTGCCCCCTTTTGAGAAACGTCCATTCCATTTTTACGGAAGCAGCTGATAATGCATGTTTTGTAACGTTTTCCCATGAATCGTTCATTAAAAGTATTGCTTTGAGTATGTTTACATTAACATTTAAGGTACACACATACATATATATGTGTAAGAAAAATAAAGATCATGTAAAAGATTAAAGTTGCAACGTAAATTTCCTTTCTCAAGTCTAAAAATAGTAACCTCTCTCTGCACTGCGTCATTTCTAGATTAATCCAAAAGTATGAATCTAACATAATTATGGTGATGCAAATGGAACTAAAACTCAAGCAGCCAATAGTAATTTTACAGCAATATTAACTATCCAATCAAAATGCATTAGGAATCAAAAATAACTCAGTCTGAAGTAAGAGTTCACGCTGAACTTAACGCACTTGCTTTCCACCCTTCGGCCTAGCCGGACTGCAGTCTGTTTCCTTCTTTTATCATACTCAATTTGTCTAAAATGTAAACTTTTCGGTATAGATACAATTAATGTACCAACTTGACTGTAGCCACACCATGTTTGCTGAAATAAAAATGAAGATTTAATCTGCCGTCGCCTCCGATTTCCTATTCATTATGAATCAACTCATCTACGCCACCAAAATTTCTGCTAGTTATTTACTTCTAAGTTTGTTTTCTTGTTTTCATTACATATATATATATATATATATATATTGTTACGTTTTTCTTTTCTTACACCAGTTGTTACGTAATTTTCTTCCTTCACGTTCGTACGGGGTTCGTAGATTAGAGTGATAAACGACGACACTTGATGAAGTATCGAAACACACTTTATTTACCAATATTGTCAGGACAGCTCCAAAACACATTTTACAGTCGTCGATGAACTACTATAAACACGCTGACACGATCAGCGACATAGCCTTCAGGTTATCAGGCTTTCACGGTGGAGACAGCTTCACTGTAGAGCACCCGACTCTGCTCAGTCAGCTCCCGACTCTGCTCAGTCGTTCTCGGAACTCCACGTACTCTCGAGACTCTCCACGCTACAACCTTGCGATGCACTAAACGACACACAGAGCACGGATCCCGACTCTTCGGTTCAGTCGTTCCCGGAGCTCAGCACGCTCTCTCGACGATACATTAACCACGATACACTAAGAGACGCCTTCGGTGAACTCGACGACCCACTCGGCATTCGCTGCCCGGCTGTCAACTCGATCGACGCATTCGCAGACATTGACTCGCTAGACGAGACACCAACTCGATATTGAGTATCTCGCACTCTCGAGGCACATACTCTCGCCCTCTCGACGAGGCACACACACAAGCCTTCTCCAGGAGGCACACACCCTGACTGCGGACCAGCATGGTTTATATAGCTTTCGGTTTGTGTTCGAAAACACTCTGGGTTAAACTGGTAAGAATTATTTCCAGAAGGTTCTCCATCCGTCCATGGCATATCGCTAATTTTGACGCCAAATGTCGCCAAATGGGTGATTTCTCGCCAAATATGGCAACCCTGCCTTATCTTGCCATTTTATGGCAACTCTAAAACTGCTTTGTGGGGAAGCCATCTTACCACGCCTGTATATTTCGTAACAATATATATATATATATATATATTCTATTTTTTCTCTTCTAATGAGTAATATCAAAATCAAATGCTGACGAAAGTTTGAATTAAAACTTTTGATGATTCCTTGGTTCATAGGTTAGATAATACTTGTATAACTCGGTGGTAAAAATTCAATCCTGATCATTCTCAAGAATAAAAAGGCCACCGTCACGTGTCCGCAGGATTTATAACTCTTCACTAACTTTCGGTTGACTTCAGAATGTTAAAGAAATTTTTGCAAGAAAGGATTATTTTAGCTGGAGAGGTGGAAGTCTATAGAAATTTTATGAATCACAAAAGAAATTGATCGCTATAACCGGGGTTTGTTCATTAAAAGTGAGTTATGCTCCCCCAGACTTACATTATACCAATCAAGTACTTTTAATTTACTCATTAATTGGGCTCTCATTAAATCTGGGTTGATTATAAGCCAGATGTACTGTATTTTCCAGACATGCTTATTTTCTTTCATTAGAAAAATTCTGAACTTTTTTCGTTTACATTTTGCTCTTATAGTTTTCCAGAAAATGATGAAGTTTGCTTTTGTACAAAAGCGATATCTGAAATTAATAAGCTAAATTACTATATTTTGCTACACTAGTAACTGGAACTTTTACATATTTATTTTTCTAATTAAAAATACTTTTAACTTACATACATATGTAGCGGAACATAATTTAATGTTTCTATATAATTATTAAGATTTTATAAGTGGCAACATGATGTAAGTAATGTTTTGAATAGCTATTAAGATTCGCCGTGTGGCAACAACGAGTCGAGCTAAAAACGTTGTTACTTAGAATGTTCCATGATAAGCGTTGCGTAAGCTTTATTTCTTAAAATTTTGTTATATTTTTATGTAAAAAAATAAGTAACATGTTGCAAACAAGAATGGGAATTGTCAAAATAAATATACTGCTTCTTTTAATACCAAAATAAGTATTCATTTCCCTTAAGAAATACTCAGGCTGATCAGTTTAGATTTCGCTTATTCATCAAATCCACACAAATATGAATTATAAACTTCAGCATGCAATAGAATGAAATCGTTATTTTTGAATAATACTTACGAAAACATTATCTCTTCGTCGCATGGGCTCATTTTTTTCGTGTTCGCTTAAGTACGGAGATGGAGGTTTTGTTTCTGTTGGACAATAGATGCGGTTGTCAATGCACGTATGAGCATGGATATCATTGACTATGATAACCTCTGAAATACAAAGTAATTACAAAACAATTAATTACGCTTCAATGTGAAAAAAATAAGTGTTAAAAATTCCTTAAAGTCTAATTGCTGGGACCATCTGTTAATCTGGGCAGCCATTTATTTGGGACAGCTCTAAAAAATTCGAATCAACTATAGATTTCGTCAGCCATTAGAAATATGTGCCCTTAGAAATACATAAATTAAATACATAACGCCGATAACACCTCATATTTATCATTTAATTCTGAGAGAATTCAGTTAAGGTAGTCCATAGACAGCTAGCATATTCTGATAAAAGTTATTGTATAGCTGAAAGCTTTTCAACCAAAGGGGAATTCCCCCTTAGGTGGAATTTCATATCTTAAAGGAGGAATTCGGTCAGCCGTTGTTAAATATTAGTTTTGTTTTATGAATATAAAAATATTTTTATACTTAGTATTTATTAATATTTTCTACACCTTTTTTATTTAATTTATAAAATACATTAAAAATAATAAAAATTTAAATAAATGTGTATGCACTTTTCGAGTTTTGGAATACGAGATGCAATGATGAAAAGAGTGCATGGGGCAAAGAAAGGGTTGAGAACTCTAGCATAGCTTATTGCCGAAGAGCGGATACATTTAAATACTAAAACATGTTATTAATAAACATATATTTGATGCCTTTTATTATTACTAACATCCTTGAAAACTGTTAGAATGAAATTTTGGCTTTGTGAAATTTTTAATTTCATACACTGGGAGAAGATTCTAACAGTTCTGGACTCTTTAATTGAAATAAACTTTTAATTAGCCCAAGATATAAAGGTTAAAATATGTAAAATTATCAACGCAGGAATCTTGGGTTTGGCTTAGATTTAGTGAAGAACTCTATGGGTTTCGAGCACAAACGTCTTCATCAGGAACAAAGAAATTTGCGAAATTTTTTTAAATATATGCTACCCATATATTTCAGTTAACTGGAAGTAAGAAACTTAAAACGTTTTTAGTAAGAAAAGTAAAACCATTGACAATAATTTCTAGCATAGAATTTAACTGGATATAACTTTGCTGCTTTTTTTTTTTTTGTATTTAATTGTTATTAAGACACTTTCCTCTGCTATCAATAAAATATAAATTACCTGATACACTTATACACTTTATATATACATATATGGTTGAGCTTAGGACAATGTTAATTCCTCAAGAGCCTTCGAAAGTCAGCATGTTGCTTTTGACTCTCAAAAACTTGAACAATAACTGCTTACTGTTGAGCAAAAGAAGATGTTCTTGAAGGCGTAGTTTAACATTTGATGAAAGATAATATTTGAAGAGTCTGGTTTGTCCGTAAATGAACATCGTGCAAATATATTGCGTGGTAAGGTTTACTATACTACAATGTTTACTCTACTAGATATATATTGCGTGACGAGGTTTGTTCTACTACAATGCTACCGTACTACAATGTTTGCTCTTCGTACGGTCACTGACCCAGAGTCTGCTAAAAACTATTATCAATTTCCTTTGTGTCTTCACACTCCTCCTACTTCCGTACGTCAAACGACGTCGTTGAACTCGAGCATTGGAAAGAGGCCTAACCTTATTTATCTATTGACCTTGTTGCGTGCGAATAACAATGCCATTAGCCTTAAAGGTTTAGTTATAGATAGAGTAAAACTGATCCATGCAAAATTTTTACCTTTTGTTATGCTAGAAACTATATTTTTGCAGTAAAATTGAGAAATAAAAATGCAATTGGGAAGAATAATAAGAAACAGAAAATGTTTTACTGCGTTTTATCGTGTTTATTAAGACTTAGTTTATTTGCAAAACGCATTATGTCCTTTATATCTTCAGCAGTACAGTATTATGGAATAGAAACATGTTTAAGTGTTATCTACTAAAAAGCACTGCACGGATTTCATTAGTAACATTAGACATCAAAAAGGTTTTATTGTAGATTTGTGAGCATTTTATGTAGTAAATAATAAAACAAACTGTAATAAGTTTATTTACTTTTTCGTGAAACATTTTGTAAGGATAATGCTAATTTTATTAATAGTTAAATTTTGAGTTAAAGTTCCTTTCCTATCAATTCTTAACTTCAACTTACCACTTCCGGCCAGGACGTAGGTTTAGAATCACGTTTGAATACATAATGAGGAAGAGTGGTATTTAACCGCGAAGTTCTTCAGTCTTAGTGATAGATATACCAAGTATTCTGTCTGCACGCATCAGCCTTTTTAGGTTACTTTCTCTCGTAAGCTATTATTACACTCGGCCGTACTTTAGGCCCTTGATAGCTTCGCAGTCTATTAACGTTAAGGGGCCAACTCTATTAAAATTTTGGTAGCTTCGTCTAAACCTCTTTAGTTTAGATTACTTTAGGATTATTCTTACTCTCTTAAGTTCAAAGCCCGAGTGTCGGCTTTATTGTACACTCCAAGACGAAGTTTTGTTAAACCTTAGTTGGAATAATAAAGGGCTAATTACCCTTCTATCTTGTTGTTTTCTGTCACACGAATTCAAGCGATTATTCGCTCATCAGTTCTTTAGATTATTTATTTCCAACAGCAACGTAGAAGTACAAGTGAATAACTCTACAATTTAAAAATTTATAGCAAATAAACTGAGCAACTGATACTAAACTTTCTTCTACTAAAATAGAAGTAAACTCATAATTAAAAAATTGGTTTCATAAATTCTGTAAGCTTTCACTTTGGATCCACAGTATGAATTAGTAGGTCAAACATTTATGCGATAATCCAACAACCTCACACCCGTGCCAGTATATCATAGTCGACTAGAGTCGCAGAGTGATTTCGAAGATCTTAAAAAATCGTATTGACGTGAAAAATGAAAAGTGGAGTATGAAAAATGGAAGCATAAAGACGGTATCTTTGTGAAATCCAGAAGCAAAAGTCATGTGAAATAAAATCCGACATTCGGGTTGGTCATTGTGTTAAATGCATCATTTCTGTTCGTTATGTATTCTATTTACCTAAGTGGCAAGTTTTAACTGAGATACTCTAGCAAGTAATTTCGTTAACCACTTCACCGCTTTCCTCGAGACATACTCATCGATTTGAAAAGTGTTTTCAGGCGTCAGAAATAACACATACTATACTCGAGAAAGCCTCGTTGCTTCATGTTTTTCAACCCTGTCCAGAATGCAGCGAAAATGAAAAGAGGAGATTGATGGCTTAACTAGTTACGCTGTCTTCGCAGCGGTACTATTTCAGGATTATAGAAAGAGAAGTTTACTTAGAAACGACGAAAAATACGAATACAATTTAGGCCTCCTTTCATCTGGCATTGCAATAGAACTACTGCTCATTTGAAAGTGCCTTTTAAAGAATCCTCTTTGTTAATTTTCAGGTAAGAGATTGATGAGTGTTTGAGACTGAGGTTTTTAATTTTCAGATAAAAGACTGAGGTCTTGGGTAGACTCCTGGGTGTGGAGACAATAGTCAACATCTGAGAATGGAAAAAACAGGCAGTTTTCTAAATAGGTCTTAACAGCTGGTAAAAACAGAAAGAAACATTTCTAAGGCTAGTTTCAAACACAAAAAGTTAATCTTTGAAGAGAGAAAAAAAAAAAAAAGAAGCAAATATGAGTTTTCAAAGACGTCGAAGTGATTAATGATCTATGTTGTAGAAAGTAGGACAATTGTCTTGCTAAAAGAGATTAATCTTTATTATTTACTTTAAACAAAGCCATCAGCCAGCATTTCAGAATTACTAAATAATACTCCCAATAACGCATAAATATTTGCTTTATTAACAAAGGTAAACACAATAAGCATTTGGAAATATTAGAAAAAAAGATGTAATGTGTTTACCTAACTTTTCGCTCAATAAACTTTGGTGTGAGTTCAGCAATTAATTTAGTAAGAAATTCAAAAATATTCACAGAATTACAAATAGTTTTGTACATATGCTTTGCACATTCATGGCATGTCAAACTTGATTTGATTTCTTTTAATATTTTTGTGTAAACATAATCTGCAAATTTTCAGACTGCAGCTAATATCGAGAACGATTTGCAAAACAGTATTTAGTAAAAACAACTCCACATGTAAGAGGAAACTCGCTATCTAGTTGCATTAGTCAAGGGTAAATTGTATTTATTTCTGTTTATCTGAGTGTAAGCAGGGAAATGGTACTTTTGTACCTCGCTTAAGAAATTGGGATAATTAATTACTTGGGAAAACATCGTTGTCAGTAGGAAAGACTGTAGCCCCAATTAGTACCGAATACTTCTATTATATCTCCTTGATACATTTCCTCAAGAGAGTTTAGTTAATGAATGTACTTAGTCCAAGCAAAGATTGTCTGTTGTAATTAGTTAGATGTTTACGGTATAGAAAAAATTGCATATACAGATAATGTTAAAGTATATATTATTCCTGGCTTTGCGACTTGTGCATTCAGCGCCATCACACACAAATGATACCTCAAATTTATTTATATTTCATTGAAAAAGAATGCAGTGTAACATAATATGCATTTTTAATTTTATAGCCCTTTTGCTGTGAAGATAGTACTAAGTATTTCTAAGATTTAATTAAAATGTTAATGTTGTAAGATAATTAAGAAATAATAGAGCGCTCAGTTCGAATGAGCTATTAACGTTCCAGTAACTTAAATCCTTTTTTGTCGGGGTAGGGGCATAATGCATAACTCATTTCAAGAGTATGCGAATGTAGTGCAAAAGGAAAAAGAACGTGAGGAGGTTAGAACACACAGCAGGCAGTATCAACTTTGTTTTCAGGAATACCTATTAACCTGGCAGTCTAATTGACATCGATTGGCTCCGTATGAAGTTACGCATTGAGAAATACTGTGTCTGTGCGCAAAGGAGTTGCAGATTTTTGTAGTAAACGAAATTTTATCTTATCCAAGTTAGCCTTTAGTGTTAAGGAGGTTAAATATTTATTTACGTTAGGGAGCTTTCATTCTTGCTAAACTAAATTTATACATATTCCATTTAGTGTTTTTCTCCATTTAGCAAAAATTCCAGCTTTGCATTTACAGCTGTCAGCAAAATTTAATTTCTGCTAGTTAAATGGAAATGAAAAGATGATTATTATAATCTTCTATCAGATGATTTTAAATTTTTTTTAAATCTTCCAATCAGTCGAGTTTTTAGATAAACTGCACGAGGAAAAACAACAATAAATATGAGGAAAATTAGTTTCGTATTAAAAACATAATGGGTAACTGAAAAATATCAGATTTCATTTTTGCAATCAGCATATTAAAGTACACAAGAATCAGCATAAATTATAGATTCAACAAAATCACTATTGACCGGTTTAAGTTTATATACTTGATCGTTATGAATAAATGTTATAGTTTCGTATTCATCTGTGCATTATTTGGTAAATGAATTAATTTAGGTGGTAAAGTTAACTCACCAGAAGCAGCTAAAGGCTACACACTAATTCAAGTAGCACTAAAACTCTGATCCTTGGATTCGAAATATTACATAGATAATATGTAATTCAAAAATTTAAAGCTTTTAAAGTTTTATGCATATAAATTATTTGACGACACAGTCATGAATAAAATAGTAAAGCCACTTTGTAGAAAGTAAAATATTGATGGACCTACAAAAAGCTGTGCATCGTGATCAAACTGGTCGTGGTCACGAGAAAATTCAGGAGGAAACCATGTGAATTATTTGACGACACAGTCATGAATGGAATAGTAAAGCCACTTTGTAGAAAGTAAAATATTGATGGACCTACAAAAAGCTGTGCATCGTGATCAAACTGGTCGTGGTCACGAGAAAATTCAGGAGGAAACCATGTGAATTATTTGACGACACAGTCATGAATGGAATAGTAAAGCCACTTTGTAGAAAGGACGTCAGCCTCGTCAGCCAATCCAGTTCGCTTTAAATATTTCCAGAACATTCTAAAACTGTACGTGTAGAAAAAGTGGGAAAAACAACTTGACTACGGGGCTGTAGATTTAATTCCACGTACTTTCAAATAAGAGACCGTCGCCATTAAAAATGAAAAGAACATACAGTTAGAATTTTAAGTGTATTCTTGACTATGGAATTTTATTATTACATATACATACATACATACATACATACATATATATGTGTGTGTGTGTGCGGTCATTCGTTCCTACAACTCATCCACCTTTTTCTAAATCTGGCAACAGCTACATCAGCGAGATACTTCTCCAAGCTGCGTGAGGAAAAGGAGAGGATCCTGTCAGATGAGGTTACGACGTGGGGACAGATGCAACTCAACGATGTGGCTTAATGATGTGACACCGTGTATGATAAACCGAACTTTTTATCTTACTCTTACTTCATTTCCTTTCATTATAAACTTATCACCCGCATGTTTATTCTTTCATTATTAAATACTTCGAAAATGCCACTGCCTTCTTCAATTTTAATCCTAACAGCATCTCCTCCTTATATGTATATATATATATATATATATATATATTCAATTTTTTAAAGCAAAAAATGCACAATTTACTTACATATAAGAATATATATTTTTAGCCCAGGTTTTTATGCTTATATGTAGGTAAATTGTGCATTTTTAGCTTTAAAAGTCATTGAATTACGTGGATTTCATGTTCTGGTTAAAGCTTTTGTCTTTAGTTAATCTGCATGTAATAGTTGTAAAACTGTCAACAAATTAAAAGTTTAAGTGTTGAGTTAAGCCTAACGAACCGCCATTTGTATACATTTGAAGCTGTGTAGAACAGTAAATTAAGCCGTTTCTGAAGCTTCAGTGTCTGTAAACTTTCAGTTTTGTGCCTTCTTGCTGCTCGCCGAATCGCTTGTTTTCGCATAGAAAACGAGTGATTAGTTTTAATTGTAAAATATTGTTCTTTTTTAACTGTGTTGATTGATGGTTTATGTTTTTCTGCATTTTACAATTTTTTAATGAAGATGTTTTGAGATTTTGTGTACTTTTGCTTTGCCGCGAAGACAGAACTGAATTAATTGAATGAGAAATATATCTCCAATGAAATTCGAGTAAATAAGCTTAAATGAAATGCAGCAAAAATGTATTTAATTTAATTGGCTATAGAAGGAAGTCATGTGGTGTCCACATCAGATGTTTTAATGATAGTTTTTTCCTTGACCGTCGTTATGTCATTTTAAAACAATAACTAAGTAAGTAATTATAGTAACTGAATAAAAACTTTGAAAACGGAGCAGAGAAAATTGTTTTCCCTCTTATTTTCAATGCAAATTATATTTTGCTACGTTTTTAAATTTTCGCCATTTTATTTGCTGCTTTTTGAACAATCCCTTCCCTAAAAAATGTGGGGGTTTTACTTTAAAACGCACCTTTAACTTTTTATGTGCATGGGTGCAACACTTATAAAGCCAGAGCTTTAAATTCAATTCTTTAAAATGTTTATTCTTCAAATTGCTGTTTTGTTTAGTCACACCTTCATTACGGAGATAAACACAAACAATTTGCTTTCTTTCCTTATCTGCTTAAGTGTTTATTAACAAAGTTGCAGGTTTAAAAGTAATTATAAATAGAATATGCAAATTAAAACATACATTAAACTGGTAACTAAAATTATGAATATATTCTGAATCTCGATCATCTGTATTAATTATATATACTCGTGTTACCTGTGTAATGGTCAAATGCGCGAATGATTGTGATTAAATTCTTTATAACGCAATTTTTGTTCAATCATTGCATACGATAGTCTGCTAAAATATTATTGCACTCTAAGGTTCGTGGATTTGAAGTAAATGATGACAACACTCGATGAAGAAACAAAACACAATTTATTCGCCAGTATTACAGAGTTCCAAAGAAACGTCTACGGTAGTCAAAAAATTACGATAAACACGCTGAAACAATCAGCAACACAGCGCTCAAGCTATCAGGCTATAATGGTGACGACACTTTCACATCAAAGTACTAAAGTACAACTCCCGACTCGGTTCGGTCACTCGCAAGCTAATTTCTGAACTCAAACACACTCTAGATACTCCTCACAATACACTAGGTACTCTAATCCGCGTACAGGCAGGGTTTATATAGCTTTTGACCTGCCTTCAATAACATTCTCGGGAAAATTTGTAAGGATTCGTCCTAGAATGTTCTCGCTCCGTCTATGGCACATAGCCAGTTTTGTCAGCAGATGGGCGATTTCGCGCCAAATCTGGCAACCCTGCCTTTCCCTGCCAGTTTTTGGCAACTGTAACTCCGCATTGCGGGGAAGCTATCTTACTGCAGCTGGGCTTTTCGTAGCAATATATTATAGTATATTCTTGTTACAGTTATGACAGTTTTCGTTTTACTACATAAACTGTTTGTTGAATTGTAAAACATAATAAATATTTTAATGCTTCCGTGGTTCTTTCGTCATAAAATTTCTTTCAGTGAGCGATTTAGCCCAAATTAACGATGCTGTTTCTCTTCGTTAAGTTTTTAACGATAAAATAACAAGCAAGGCATTGCAATAAATAAAGATTCTGTTGTAGATAAATATGTGGCATATATTTTGAATAGTATATCTTCATTTGGTTAATATGAAGAGAAAGTTATGTTTTATACCAATTGAAAATGTTTATATCCAAAGTAATTTTCCTTCAATGGGTGTACATGAAATAATTTTATAACCCTTGAAGTTTCGTAAACATATACATTATTAAGACACAATAACACGCCGAACAAATACTAATTTAGAAGTCAAGCAACAAAAATCAGCGTTATATTTTCAAAATTTTCGCAGGACTAGTTTGTATGGTTTTACCGAACCACCATTCTCAGCTGCAAAACCACAAATGAACAAGATAGGAAATAATGATTAGATAAGATAAGAAAGCCTGGACAAGAATAAGCAAGTGGCGCCATCTGTTGATGAAACGAGAAGTAAAACATAATTTCTGTAAAGGCTGAAAGGAAAGATGGAATGGAATTTTCTCCAATTTCCATTGGAGAACTGGATTTTCTAGAGGCATTTCACATTCAAAAAAAATCTTTCTGTTCTAGTTAATGATCCTAATTCCAATCCATCTTTGCCTTCGGCCATTAAAGAACTTATGTTTTAGTTCTGGTTTCATCAACAGATGGCGCCACTTGCTTATTCTTGTCCAGGCTTTCTTATCTTATCTAATCATTATTTCTTATCTTGTTCATGTGCGGTTTTGCAGCTGAGGATGGTGGTTCGGTAAAACCATCGAAACTAGATCTGTGAAAATTTTGAAAATATAGCGCTGATTTTTGTTGTTTGACTTCTGAATATACATTATTATTAGAAGCAATTAAAAAGATAATTTGGAAAATTTCTTACCATATTTGAATTCACGATGTAAACATGTAAATTCTACAACTATATTAAATGTGAATTAGAAAAAATATCTACAAAGATGATGACTCTTTCAAAAGCCAGCAAAATGCGAGTGGCAGGTTCATATTTAATGGTTAAAACGTTGAATAGTTGCAATATTATTAATTACTTTTAAATTTAATTACTTTTGAAACGCTTAAATTTAAAATTTCAAAGGGGTATAGGAATTGTTTCTTTTTTACTTACCAGGAGTCATTACTGGAGGTTTCTCGTCCTCATCGGTTACGCAAATACACATATCTCTGTTTCTGTCTTTACCATTCTTCAGCAAAGCATCAGAACTGTTTAAAAAATAGTTACATCAGGTGTGAAATAATAGAAGAATGATTTAAAAAAGAGTTACATCAAGTGTGAAGTAATAAAAGAATGATTTAGAAAATGTAAGTAAATACTAAGATGAATATTTATTTGAAAAACTGGTTTAAACTTGTTTATATTTTGACTTTTGACTCTCGTTTCCGAATATCAGTTCTGATGGATATTAAACTCACAAATCTGGGTTTTAAAACTAGTTAAAATCCAATTACTTGTAAATTAAAATTTTCCATATTTTCAAATTGTTTTTATAGAATTAGTTTTATAGGAAATTATAGATAGAATCAGTTTTATATAAACTAATTAAAGAGTAAAAATATTATGAGAAAAATGTATGGAATATTTTCCTTTCTGACGAAAAAAGCTTTCTAGATTCTCTCAAAATGCTTAAGCGTTAGAGACTTAAAACTAATCAGACTAAGCTATGGGAATGGTACACGTAACAGATGCACTGGAAGCAAATTTTTGGTCTGAATAGAATACTTATCTTTTCATCTAGTTCAGAGTTTCTTAAAGTGTGGGTCACGATCCCCATGGGGGTAGCGGGACTTGCAGCAGGGGGTCGCTAAAAATTTAAGCAGTTTTGATATTTCTTTAACTTATTACAATAATTTTACAATTACCAATTATTTTTATACAATGTATCTGAAAGTAGATAAAGATAAGACAATAAAGACAAAGAAAAAAAAGCGAAAACGTTTCGACGCATTCTTTTTATAATATGAACGTTCATTTTACTTGTTTGGCACGTGGCGCTGTCATTTTGTTTGTTAATTATTTAAAATTGTCACATTGTTCTATGTCTTAGAATTATAAATTAAACTTAATGACCTAAAACTTGAATAGTATATTACAGTACAAGCAAAAAAATTCACAATTTCAATCATGTGTGTGTCGGATTTGCGCAATGCTTATGGAGTCCCACAAAAGTTTCGTAAATTAATATTAATATTGAGGTCCTGGAGTCGCGAAAAAATCTCATTCATAAAAGGAGTCGTGACTGAAAAACGTTTAATAAGTCCTGATCTCGTTTAACGTATTCCTTTTTCTGAATCCATAAGTAACTCTTTGAAATATGTATAAAATGCTTGAATACTTAATTTGCTATAGAAATACAAAGCCATTACTAATGAAATGCTGTGCAGAAGTGACAAAAACATGCTGTCTAATTTGTCCTCTCCACAAAGATTGCTGTATTTATGATTTAAGTTTGCAGTTTTTAAGTAAATTACAGTGCAAGATTTTAGTTTACTATAGCGTTAGCATTTTTCTTTTTTTTAAATCATACCCTGTCACCTATATGGTGCCCAAAGGTTCTTATCAACGGCAGGCGTAAAACGTGTCGCCTTGCAACCATGAATTTCGTGGGATTTGGAAGGCAGTGCCCGTACCTGAGGACAAACCTCCGGAACCGACTACTGGTGGTAGGAGCCGACTGCTAGCGGTTTGATCTGAGGGTGCGGTTGCTGAAGGGAGGTGGTTCGCTACGTATCTCTCAGTTAAGCATCGGCCTCCTCGGTGGCACCCGCTGGAAACTATGCCGGCAAAGGCTAGAAATAGGCTGGCTGGCATAGGCTAACGATGCTGGACAACTAACTCTGTGATCCGGGTGGGGGAATTACCGGAACCGACCATTTATGGGAGGAGACCTGGTGTTCTTCCAGTTCACTGGCTAGACTTGTGTCTAGACAGCTTCGGCCTGCTGAGCAAATAAACAGTCTTCACATTGACTAGAACCATCGTTTATTCGATGGTAGGTTCAGGCGTGCCAGGGATCTTACTGATACTGTCTTCTCCGTATCCTTAGCGGTGGGGACGTTACATGGTGGATGGTAATGGCCCGTCTGAGAGGGATTGGCTCCTCTCGCTCGGTGTGGAGGGACGTATGATCTTGAGATTTAGTTTACCGTCCTTGTAGCTAGTACCGCGAGAGGGGGTGGTGGCCCGTTCGCGGGAATTTTCACTTTGATTTTCTTCAGTCTAACGTGTAAAGTAGTCGGAGTTGAGACCGGCCCTGTGGATCTCTTAGTGATGGTCGCCCGACTGTCTTTTATCTGACGAAATAAATATTCGAGGGAAGTTTTCCCTCTGCAGCGATCGGGAGAGGTGGCGCCCTATCAGGTCCTGAAGTTGTAGTTCTCCAAACCTTGAAAGGGAAGCTAAGTTCTTCTAGTGCAGGCCGTAGGGCAGGGGCCGCACTTTGGTGTACATGTGATATCAGGCAAGTGAGATTAGTCACAAAAACCACAAAAATTATTTAAACTCCAAGAATTCTTACTTTTCCGGCAGTTAATTAATGATTTGCATGGTTAATTTAACTTAGGCAAAAGTAGTTACAAGCTAGAAAATTAATTTAAGAATTTTTTTTATTTTTTATTGCAATTATATTCTTTATGTTTTTAGCTACGATGGCCATTTGCATAACAAGAATTTCTAACCGCATCTCCAATTTAAGCAAATTTCGAGAAATACGAAAAGGATTTAAAGGTTTTTACTGTTAATTTGTAATACAGTGAGTCAATCTAATTTACCATTCAGCACGAATAAACGTTTCTTTGGTGAAAACTTTCAACATCTGACATTAAAATCAAAATGTGAATTTGTATTATTTCCCATTTAAATTGCTTTTTGGCAAATGAAGAGTGGTTGTAACGCAACATTTTGTTGTTGAATTACATGCTAAACGCAAAACGTAAATTGCTTTTAACTACACAAAATGCGGAGGCGATCTAGGTTTTTATTTTAGCGTTCAGATTCCATTATTTTAAATTACTAATGTGTGAATTCAGTCATAACCAAGGGATATTCAATTCCATATTATTATTTTTTTTTCATTCACTTCGTCAAGTTAAAACATGAGGTTGCTTTTTACCTACATTTTATTAACCTTAATGTTATTTCATGCTCTCAGTTTGTATGACAACTGAAAGTTAAATGCTAAATTATTCTTATAGTTTTTATGCTAGATTCGTTTACTCATTTCTTAGTTTGATATATTGCACTACAGAAATATTTTCCTGAAATCGGTTGTAGTATAAATTTAAATCCTAATCTTAAAGATATGTATTTATATATTGTTTTAGAAGTACCCATAAAGGCTAGCAATTTATACAAAAATACGGTGTCCGCCGATAACATCGCGGCAAAAACATCGCGGAGAAAACAACGCAAGGCGAAAACGTCGTGCTACAAAACATCGTGGGAGAAAACATCGCAGTTCTAAAACATCATGGTACAAAACATCGTCGTCGAAAATAAAGCGGTTCAAAAACTTCGCAGTTTGAAAACATCGTCGTCGAAAATATCGTGGTAAAAAATAAAGTATCTACAAATCATCGCATGACGATAACATCGCAGACATGCTTTTTTCAGGTTTTAATAATTGTAAATAGATATTCCCATAATGATTTGTCATCGCAAGGTATAAAGAAGGATAATTTTTACTTTCACATTTTTTATTAACTAATAAATTTTTTGCTGAAAAAGTAAGAAGGAAACTTAAGCATAGAAAATTAAATGCGTTTTATAGCTTATACTTTTCATGAAAAATTACCAATAAAAGCAATACAAAAATTATTTATTAATGGCCTTTGTTAGTTAACTATGCCGGTTTAAAATTCTATTAAGTGCTATAAGTTGCATTAATTTTCTATGCTTAAGTTTCCTTTTTATTTCCTCAGCAAAAATTTATTAATTAATAAAAAATATGAAAGTAAAAGTTATCCTTCTTTACATCTTGCGCTCACAAATCATTATGGGAATATCCATTTACAGTTATTAAAGCATGTCTGCGATGTTATCGTCATGCGATGATTTGTAGATACTTTATTTTTTACCACGATATTTTCGACGACGATGTTTTAGAACTGCGATGTTTTCTCTTTGCGATGTTTTCTCCCACGATGTTTGTAGCACGACGTTTTCGCCTTGCGTTGTTTTCTCCGCGACGTTTTCGTCTGCGATGTTTTTGCCGCGATGTTTTCGGCTGTAACCAAAAATACAAGTCAGTTTCTATCAAACTCAACCAGTCTTACGAAAAATTATTGTCGAGTCCAAACCGTTTCACTTTATCTCACCCATGTTTTCAAGAGCTTCATTTCTCTTCTTTTTTCATTATAATTGACTGAAGTAAGTTTATTGTAATTTAATTACATTATCATGTAAAGCATTACAATCTATTGTTTGATAGGCGTAATGGAAGCAGGTTTCCATCTTGAGTGGCCTACCAGTGGGTGAGACGATGAGATCTATAAACACCACCACTTAATTCGGATTCATATTCCAGCAAATGTATTGATTGCACGTCTGATTTCGTGGATTTTCTCATATGTAGCACAAATACCAGCCGTTTACCTCAGAAAATCTTTCATTGGTAGTTTCCCCAGGATCAAGCCCTTGTAAAGGGTTTGTTGCGTGGAGTATTTATCATTTACTACACGCATTACGTGAATACAAGCTGTTCCTTAAACAGTCCTTCACAAATGCACCTTTCTAGGATAGATTGCTCTTATGTGCTTTTCGATATTCAATCCATTTACTAACCAACCAACCAATCATCAGCTTTGCTGACACCGTAATTATTTCAATTCAACTTCATTGTACAATGAAAATCTGTTTATAAAGCGATGTAACTTGATTCTTAACTTTCATAAGTTAAAATGTTTTTTTTTTTTTTTTTTTTTTTTTTTTTTTTTTTTTTTTAACGACAGTGTAATAAGATTGAATTTCTCTCCAACGCATCATGATGATCTATCAAATGCGTACAAAAATGCTACACGTCAATGTCCGTTTTTTCTCATTTGTTTAATAAGTATGAATATATTAAGTTTTCATTTGAAAACTAGATTAAAACACTTTTGCTAAATTAACGATTTATTTCACTTCCAATTCTATTGATTTTAAACATCTTGAACTGGGAACTTGTAAATGCAGTGAGCGCAAAATAAAAGAACCGAAGGAACAAAAA